AGTTTGGCTTGAGTAACAAACGCAAAAGTTTTATTGCCTTCCTCGTACTCCTCCTGCACCTCAAAGTAGGCAATAATAATTTTTACAAAACTCTCGTTGAGAGGCCATAATCAAGCCATGGCAAAACAACAACAACAACAGCAAAAAAAATTGTTGCAGTAAATAAATATTTGTTTAGAAAACAACTACAACAAAACGAAACAACACTTGCTTTATAACTAAAGAAATTTGTTTGTAACATTTTTTGTTCGTGGAATAGCAGAGAGGAGAGAGCAAGAGAGAGAAAAATTAAACAATAAAATATTTTTTAACGTTGGGCGCCATTTCATCTATAGGTTTACAATTTAATAGGAAATGCAATGTTTTTTTAAAGAATTTTTTAAAATATTAAAACTATTTTCTGTAATTTTATTAAAAAAATTGAAAAAAATAAAAATATTTTTTTAAATGTTTACGTTGGGCGCCATTTTTTTTTTCTTTGATTTTGAGACATCTGATGATTAAATTTATATTTTTTCAATATAGAAATATTATTGCAAGACTTATTTTCATTAAAAAATATATGTTTTTGAAATTTTTTTAGAATTTCACGTTGGGCGCCACTTTCACAAAATTCAAATTTCATAGGTTTTAAGGGAGAAATGTGACTAGTACGCATGTTTTAACTGTGAAAATTGATTTTATTCCAAAATATTAAAATATTTCTAATTTTTTTTTTAATTTTTACGTTGGGCGCCATTTTTATATTTTCAAGATTTTGAGGCATCTGATGGGTAAATTTACAGTTTTTAACGCAAAAATATCATTGCAAGGCTTATTGTATTAAAAAAAAGTTATGATTTTGGAAAACAATTTAGAGCTCCACGTTGGGCGCCACTTTCACAAAATTTCAATTCCATAGGTTTTAAGGGTTAAATATGTCAAGTACGCATTTTTAGACTGTGACATTGGATTTTATTTCAAAATATTAAAATATTTCTATTTTTTTTTTTTTTGAATTTTTACGTTGGGCGCCAATTTTGTATTTTCAAGATTTTGAGGCATCTGATAGTTAAATTTACATTTCCAACGCAAAAATTTCATTACAAGGCTTATTTTATTAAAAAAAATATATATTTGTTTTTAAGAATTTAATTTAGAGCTCCACGTTGGGCGCCATTTTCACAAAATTTCAATTTCATTGGTTTTAAGAGGGAAATATGTTTCGTTCATATTTTTTAGCTGTGAATATTGATAATATTTTTTTAAATTAAAATATTTCTAAAAATTTGTTGAACATTTACGTTGGGCGCCATTTTTATATTTTCTAGATTTTGAGGCATTTGATTGTTTAATTTACATTTTTAAATATAAAACTACCATTGCAAGGCTTATTCTATTAAAAAATATATTTTTTTGGTGATTAGTTGAGAGTTTCACGTTGGGCGCCATTTTCGAAATTTTTCTATTTCATAATTACATTGGGCGCCATTTTTTATTCTTCAGATTTTAAGGCCCCTAAATATAAGAATATCATTGCAAGGCATATTTTATTAAAAAATAAGTATTTTTGGAACTTAGTTTAGAGTTTCACGTTGGGCGCCATTTTCAATTTTTCAGATTTTAAGGCATCTGATGGGTTAGTTTACAATTTTCAATATAAAAATATCATTGCAAGGCCTATTTTATTAAAAAATATATATTTTCGGAAATTAGTTTAGAGTTTCACGTTGGGCGCCATTTTCAAAAATTCTCTATTTCATAATTTTTAGGGGGAAATATGCCCAGAATCTGCCTTTTATCCATTATTTCATTGCAATTTTTCTATCCTTACCCACTTTCCGACCCTCGTGTTCCTCTCCCCCCTCTTTTTCAAACATTAGATTTAAAATTAATTAAACTTCAAACGATTTCCCGCCATTTATTTATTCTAGCATTTTTTTTTTTTTATTTTCATTTTTTTTTGTTTGTTTGAATCTGGATTGCAGCATAACACAATATTAAACGCTAATTCAATTTTATGTTGTTTTTGCGTTTTTATTTCCATTATTCCTGCATGGTTAAACAGCAATTCAGAGGATATGTTTTTATGGCTCCAGTATTCATGTGGCTCTCATTCAAAAAAGCCCTTCTCGGTTTTTTTTTTGTATTTTTTGTAAATCAAAAAAATCAAATTGCAAGGCTTCAATAGAATGCTAACACACACAAAAAAAGCAGCATCCAGCACAGTTTATATGACCTTGTTGATGGATATTTGTATTGAAAATAGAAGCAGTGAAAAAAACCTCCTCCTCCTTTGCCCCTTTTTGTTCACATCAATTATTGCATCATTTCAGTGCTTGACCTGCCAAGCATTTCATATATGGATTCTTTTTCCTAGACCATTCAAAGAAGAGTCTCTGATTTATGATTTCCAAATTCTTTTTTGGGGTGGAGAGAGAAAACAAAGAAATGCCATCAAAAGCGTATTAGTGGTTTTAACACTATTTCCATTCAGAGGCATTAAGCTTTGGTACCGCATACTGCAACTTGATTTTATCTTCCAATATTGCTGTTATCCTTGGCACAAAAACTAATCATACAAGTGGCTTAGCTCCTTACCTTGGCAAAAAAACGGAGTTCATTGTTTGTCTCTTCTCTGTATCCCATTCGATTTCAAGCAAAAAATTGAAAATTGTTTTACAATTGCAAGGATAATCGATTCCCAAAGGAGCAAACACTTGACGGAACATAAAAGCGAGACTCTTTATGTCCTTTGCAATATTCCCAGTTGTTTTTTTTTATCGTTTTTCTCCTCCATGATGTTGTCAAGTATCATCCAACAGTTTGGCAGGATTCTTTATGTGGCAATGGTTGGCGATATGAAACAGGAAATCAACACATGATGATGATGATGACGAATGACAAATGGCATAAAACGCTTGAATTGTTTGATTACGTTTACAATGCCACAACAGTATTTGAAAACGATGGAGTATCCATTGGATTCAATAACTTTATCAATGGCTAAAAAAATGGCAAAGAATTTTCCCTCAAAAAAAAGGAAGATAAAATTTGAAACTTTTCAATTTGGGATTAGACAAGGAATAGCAAGGATGTAATAGCAGAAAGGATACAATTGAAACTCTTTAATTGTGATTTTTAAGAATTTTTTACTGAAATCAAGAATTTTAAAAAAACTGTAATTTAAAAAACATTTCTTTAGTTTTCACGTTGGGCGCCACTTCTTGGTTTTTTCTCAATAACCATAAATGATTTTAAAATACCTTAATTTTGTTAAAAATATGTTTAATCTAATAAAATAGTGTCCATTAAAAAATTTTCCTTCATTAAAAAAAATTTCCACGTTGGGCGCCAATTGGCAATGCTACTATAATTGTCTTAAATTTGTTTTAAAACTATAAATTAGGGTATTTACTACATGAATTCGGGGTCAAAACTTCCTTTTTCAAAAAAAAAAAGTAATCGCACCATTATTTTCCAAATTCCACATTGGGCGCCAATTCCTATTAATTTCCGGAAATCTGTCTTAAATATTTTAATAACATTGAATTACATGTATACACCCTAAAAATAATCAAAAAATAATCCATTTAAATTATTCCTTCATTTAGAAAAAAAAATTACGTTGGGCGCCAATTGGCCTTGCCACTCAAATTATCTCAAATTATTCTAAAAATATAAATTAGGGTATTTTCTACATGAATTCGGAACCAAAACTTAATTTTCCGAAAAAAATTGAATTGCAAGATTATATTTCAAATTTCACATTGGGCGCCAGTTTCTATTTTGCAAGGAAATCTGTCCAAAATTAAAATTAAATAATGTCGATTACAAAATTATAAAATTTCGATTACTTGTTTGTGGCCTAAACCAGGCCATATAAATTAAAAAAAAAACATGTTTCGAACATATTTTCAAAATTTCCATGTTGGGCGCCATTTTAGGAAATTCTCAATTTAAATTAGTTCGCCTAAAAATATGTTAACAATGTGTACTTCTAATGTGATCCTAATTGATCTTCTTTCAAAAAATGCATACATTTCTGGTTTTAACAAAATTCACGTTGGGCGCCACTTTTATGTTTTTCACAATTTTTAACATTTTTTTGGGTATGATCTACAGAATTACCTTCACATAGTATTTGTGATCCATTAAAACTCGGATTCCACCAAAAAATCTTATTAAAAATCCTTAAAAAAAAAAACTCCACGTTGGGCGCCATTTTTCATTTTTTCACAATTTTTAATAGTTTTTGGCATGATCTACAGAATTACCTTCACATAGTATTTTTGATCAATTAAAACCCGGATTCCGCCAAAAATTCTTATTAAAAATCATTAAAAAAACAAAATTCACGTTGGGCGCCATTTTCCCTATTTTTTACAATTTAAAATAATTTACTTTAATTTTTGATTTGAAAGCTTCTAAGCCGATTTGGTACATTATGACGCCCAACGTAATTTTAATATTTTTGGATAAATGGCAATCCCAGCCTTCATGTTGCTCATCTAAATATTCCCCTAATTATAACTTCAACCTTCTTGGATATCCTCTCCATACCTCACTCTCTCTCTCTCCCCCTCACTCCCCTGTGCCTGTTTCCAAACCAACCTCCATTGGCATTTATGATTAACAATTTAAGGCCATATTATACTTTAATCATTAAAAACGTTCAGCATTCAGCAGATCATCCCGATGATCGTTTCACGTTTATGGCTTAATTTCGAAAGGTCACAAAAGCGCTCTCTAAGACACCGCACATCAATAAATTGTCATAAAATCAAACACCAAAGGCGAATTGATGAATTCCAGCTCAAAAAACATTAATTGTTGTTGTTGTTGCTGTGTGGAGATCAGAATTTAGTGGCCAGTTTAATAAAGCTGAGCATTCATTTGGCATTTTTACAATACGATTCGATTCCTTCTGACTCATGGGCATTTTGCTTTCATTCATTTTACAAGCGCTAATGGGAAATTTATGATACTCATCAAATCATGTTTTTTTTGTCTTCTTTCAGATTCCGGCTTGCCGCCCTATGGTGCAGGACGTGATGATTCCATGTCAGATGATCGCATTGCTCACATTTTAAATGAGGCCTCTTCGCTTATGAAGGGCAGCCCCGGATCAATGCAGCAACGTGGCTCTTCATTGCAAGAAGATTCGCACAGCAATGAGGATTCCAAGTCACCACATCAACCCTGCTCTTCGCCGTTCTACAGGGACAGCCTGAAGTCACAAATGGAAACAAGTTTACCGGCCCCTGGCCATTTGAGGCCAGACGAGGTGAATCCCGAGAAAATGGCACGCCTCTACCAGGAGATTATGGCTCGGGCTCCCCGGGAAGCTTTTCCAGGGTAAGTGTTTTTTTCTTCTCAGCTGAGATTTACCTCAAATTTAACGAAATCTGAATGGTCATGCTTACCCTAATTGTAGTTTTTTGCTTTCTCCCTTTTTCAGTGGCGGTTTGCCCACAGGCATGGCTGGCAATGCCTTCCCCGGCCTGGCAGCTGACGAGAACATGCGTTTGGCCTTTGAACGGGAAATGAACAAATTGCAGCAACAGCAGCAGCAGCAACAACAACACTCGCAACCTCCCAACTTTGCCAATTTCTCTAGTCTGATGGCCCTGCAACAGCAAATGTTGAATGGCGCCCAAGACCTGACTCTGGGCTGCAAAGATGATGTGCCCAATCCCTCATCCCAGAACAAGGATTCCAAGCTGAATGGCCAACGTCATTCCTTTGATGGCTCATCACAGAATTCCCTTAGCAATGCTGGGCTTGCCTCAGCCGCCGCCGGCCAGTCTTCTACAACACCCAATGCCAAAGATATTTCAACCTCCGAGGGGGAACGTCTCTATTCGGGTATGGTGAAAAATGAGCAGGGCAACAAGACCCCTGCACCACCGCTTTCCAGCAATGCTTCCACGACCAACACCAACTCCGCAGCACCCAGCCCCCTTAGCAATTCCATACTCCCGCCAGCAATGACACCCAACGATGATTTTGGAGCCACCGCCAGTCCATTGCAGCGCATGGCCTCCATTACCAATTCCCTGATTACTCAGCCGCCCGTACCACCTCACCATCAGCCCCAGCAACGTCCCACCAAGGCCGTCTTGCCGCCCATTACCCAGCAACAGTTCGACATGTTCAACAACTTGAATACCGAGGAGATTGTGCGTCGCGTCAAGGAAGCCCTTTCGCAGTATTCGATTTCCCAGCGCCTGTTTGGAGAATCGGTTTTGGGTCTGTCCCAGGGTTCAGTATCAGACCTACTGGCCCGCCCCAAGCCCTGGCACATGCTCACCCAAAAGGGCCGTGAACCCTTCATCCGCATGAAAATGTTCTTGGAGGATGACAATGCGGTTCACAAACTGGTTGCCTCCCAATATAAAATTGCCCCCGAGAAGCTGATGAGAACTGGCAACTATGCCGGTGGGCCACAAATTCCCCCAGGATTGGTGGGTAAGATTCCTCCCTCCATGCCCATGCAGAAAATGATGAGCGAACTGAAGCTGCAGGAACCGGCTCACATTATGCAGCAAATGCAGGCTGCTGCCGTTATGTCTGCCGCCATGCAGCAGCATCAACAACAGCAACAACAAGCTGCCGCCGCTGCGGTGCAACAAAGCCAACAGGCTGCCGCTGCCCAGGCAGCTGTGCAAGCAGCCCAAGCTGCAGCTGCTGCCCAGGCCGCTGCCCAGCAACATCATCAAAGTATGCTGCTCACCTCACCGGGCCTGCCACCCCAACATGCTATACCACTTCCTGCCGCCACCTCCAATCCCACATCGGGCGCCAGTACCCCAGCTGGCCAGAGCTCCGAAAAGAAACAGCCCATGATGATGCCCATCCACTCGCCCCACCAAGCCAATGCCATGCGCAACATGCACCAACACATGTCACCCACCGTCTATGAAATGGCTGCCCTCACCCAGGATTTGGACACCCAAGTCATTACCACAAAAATCAAGGAGGCCTTGCTCACCAACAACATTGGCCAGAAGATATTCGGAGAAGCCGTTTTGGGTTTGTCTCAGGGTTCGGTGTCCGAATTGCTCAGTAAGCCCAAACCCTGGCACATGTTGTCCATCAAGGGTCGGGAACCCTTCATTCGCATGCAGCTATGGCTGTCCGATGCTAACAATGTGGATCGCCTGCAGGCCTTGAAAAATGAGCGCCGGGAGGCCTCGAAACGCCGACGTTCCACGGGACCCAATCAACAGGACAACAGCTCCGACACCTCCAGCAATGATACCAATGACTTCTACACCAGCAGCCCGGGACCGGGTTCGGTGGGCAGTGCCGGAGCCCCTCCCAATAAGAAGCAAAGGGTACTCTTCTCCGAGGAACAGAAGGAGGCCTTGCGCCTGGCATTCGCCCTGGATCCCTATCCCAATGTGGGCACCATTGAATTCCTGGCCAATGAATTGAATTTGGCCACGCGCACCATCACCAATTGGTTCCACAATCATCGCATGCGTTTGAAGCAGCAAGTGCCCCATGGCCCACCTGGCCAGGAGACCAACATACCCACAAGAGAGAATACCAATTCCACACCATTTGATCCCGTCCAGTTTAGAATTTTGTTGCAGCAGAGATTGCTGGAACTGCAAAAGGAACGCATGGGCTTGGGAGGCAACAATACCCTGCCCTACCCACCCTACTTTGCTGCGGCCGCCTTGCTGGGCAGAAGTTTGGCTGGCATGCCAGGAGCAGCCGGTGGTGCTGCCCCCAATGAGGCCGAGTTGAGGGCATTGAATCAAAAATTCCAAGAACAAATGGCCGGCTTAGATTTGTCCATGAGCTCGCTGAAACGTGAGCGCAGTGATGACTTCGATGATGATCTGGACGATGGCCATATGAGTGAGAATGAGAACGATTCGCTGGATGGTGAGACAGAAAAGTCGGGAGAGTTTAAGGCCCTTAGCAATCATGCCCAACAGTTTTTGAACAACATGCGTTTGAATCGTCGTAAACCTGCCGCACCACAATGGGTTAATCCTGCCGTGCCCTCGGGCCAAGTGGCCGGCCAAAGTGGAGAATCTGCCACAGAGCGCCTGCTAAATGGTGAGGAATCATCGACCAGCCACCACCACCACCAACAGCAGCATGAGGAGGATATGGAACAAAACCAACGAGAGGAAGAAGCTGGAGATGCACCCCATCATTTGGTCATGGAACCAGAGGTATTAATCAAACAAGAAAAAGAAGACTGTGAAAGTGATAGCCTAAAGGAGGGCAATGAGGGAATGGCCAGAAGCCAAGACGAAGATGTGGCCTCGGCCTCAGTAACATCAGCAGCAGCAGCAGCAGCAGTCACGAATGCCTCAGCGTGGAATTATTAGGTCCGGGAGCGAGAGAGCATGTGATATGGCAACTGCTTGGCCAACTGAGCAGAGAGAATATCATTAGGTCTCCTTTTACTCTTGCTGGATACTCTTTGCTCATCTGGGCCCCCAAACAACCAAAGATTAAACCCAGAGAGGCAAATGATTTTACAGTGAGTAAAAGAGTTCCCGGCCGAGAGAGAGAGAGAGAGAGCTGTAATAATTAAATTAACAACCTACCCAGAGAAAGAGTGCAATGAGAAACAAATCTCTGATATAGCCCCCCAAAAACAAAAATTAAAAATAAATCCAAATTATTTTCTGTTGTGATTAAGTTTGTAAAGAGAGCGGGCAAGAGCCTTGGCTCTCCCCTTGTAAATAGTAGAGGTATTAAGAGAAAAAGAAAAATGGAGTTAAGGCCTCATTGCCCCTCTCCTGCTTCAAAACAAATGAGTATTATCCATTGATTTCTAAGTTTTAGTTGATAAATCAAGACTGTATTTGATAAGTTTCAAAGATTTATAATTTTTTTTTAAATTTTATTTTAATATTTATATTGTAAATACTATTTTTTTTTTTTTAATTTTTAATGTATATAAAGCAAGCGAAAACAAACAAATAATGCATGAAAGAGAAACAATGATTTAACTTCCTTTTTGATCTCAAAAAAAAAATTAAGAAAAAAAAAACAACAAACAAAAATAACGATGACTTTTTATAATAAAACAAAAAAAAACAAAAATTATTAAAATTCAAAAAAAGGTAGTTAAACCATGAGAAAAAAATTAAAAAAAAGAATCTCTTTTTTTCTAATCCCACGTTGGGCGCCACATACACAATAAATAAAAAAATATATTAAATATATAAAAATAAATTAAAAAAAAAACATTATAATATTAAATGTAGATGAATTCTTCTTAAACATAAAACAATAATAAAAGAAATAAAACTTAAAATATAGAAATTAAAAATATAAAAAAAATTAAAAATAAAAAATCCCCTCTTTAGCATATCGTTTATTCTTAAATAATAAAGTAAAAAAGAAAATAAAATTTAAAAAACAACCTTCAATAAGTTTTCCAATACCTAATTATAAAACAAATGATGAGACATGCATACATACATACCTACAAGAAAGAAATCCTAAGTTTTCCTAATTATTTATAAATTAAAAAAAAATAATCTTAAGTAAAAATAAACCCACAAACTCCCATTGTAAATAGATTTTATAATTTTAAGCCAAACACAGTTATTAATTAATTAATTATTATTATTAAAATATTATTATCTTTAAGTAATAAAAATTACAGTTTTTATTATTACCAACCCCTTTTCCCTGCAAACAAAAATTAAAACAATAATTAAATTTAATGTTTCAAATGTTATGTTAAATAAGACCACCCCACTAAAAAGCAAAAAAAAATAAATTTTTGAAAAAAAAAAAACATGAATTAGTTTTTCTTTATACAAACAAACACACAGTTTTATGCATTTCTATTTTTATATGATTTAGTTAAAAAGAAAAACATAGTTTTATTAGTTTTTAATTTTATTATTAATTATATTATTATTATTTTAAATTTTTATTTTATTTTTTTCCAAATAAAACAAAAATGCAAAATGAAAAATAATTATTAAAAAAAAAATAAACAAATTAGTTTTTTATTTAAAAACAAAAAAGAAGCCAGCACAACGTTGGCTAATAAGGCAGAGGAACCTTAGTCCTCGCAAAAGATTTTTTATATAAATAAATAAAATATATATAAAAAATTAAATAAATATATATGAAACAACAGGGGTTTTGGGCAAAAATTAATAAATAAAAAAATAAATGATAAAAATATGGGAAATAAAAAATAATTAATTGAAGAAATATAAAAAGAGATAAATAATAAACAAATTTAATAAAATAAAGATACATAAAAAAATATATATTTTTAATTTATAAAATAAAATAAAAAAAAAATAAATAATAAAAATATGGGAAATAAAAAATAATTAATTGAATAAATAAAAAAAGAGATAAATAATAAACAAATACAATAAAATAAAAATATAAAAAAAATATTTAATATTTAAAAAATTAAATATAAAAATATAGGAAATAAAAAAATAATTGAAAAAATAATTATTTATAATAAATAATAATTATTATAATAATAGAATAATATTTTTTATTACAATATGATAATTTTTATTATTTATAATATTTTTATTACAATATGATAATTTTTATTATTTAATATTGATAAAATTAAAAATATCGCCAATAAAAATTTACTTAATAAATAAATAAATAAAAAATATAAAAAAATATTTATTTATTTATTAAGTAAATTTTTATTGGCGATATTTTTAATTTTATCAATATTAAATAATAAAAATTATCATATTGTAATAAAAATATTATTCTATTATTATAATATTTATTATTTATTTTAAATAAATTTATTATAAATAAAAAATATTTGAATAATAATATTTATTAATAATAAATTAATTATAAATAATTATCATAATAAGAGAATAATAAAAATAATAAATTAAAAAAATTATTCTATTATTATAATAACAATTATTTATTATTAATTTATAATTAATAAAATTAAAAAATATAGAAAATAAAAAATTATTAAATTATTAATTGAATAAATAAATAATAAAAATATAATGATTATTATAATAAAATAATTGTCATTATCATTTTATATTATATTATAATAATTATCATTCCATAATTATTTTTTTTAATTAATATTAAAAAATAAAATATAAAAAATAAAGGAAATAAAAAATAATTAATTGAATAAATAATTTGGAAACAAATAATTTGTATAATAATAAAATAATAAAGTTATTGTTATTTTATTTTATAAAAACTATTTAATAATTATTTTTATTATTTTTTAATATCAAACAAGTAAAAAAAACTATAATTTCGGCCGGGCCAAACTTTGAATACCCTTCACCATTTGGAACGAATTTGGCAATTCTCAAAAACAATAAAATCCGTTAAAAATTCTGTTAAATCTTAAAAATACCGACTATACGACGACATCAACTGCATAGGTAATTTTTATTTTATTTTAATATACCCTCCCTACCATGGTGGAGAGTACAAAAAAATAAAATAGGAAAGACAAAATAAATAGCGGTATTTTTCATTTTTTTATTTATTTATTTACATTTCATTTCTTTTTATAATTTTTTGTGCAGTTTATTTTTTTAACTAAATAAAAACCTTATATAAATTAATGTATATTATTCAAATAATAAATATGATTTTTTTCATGTATGATAAAATTAAAAAAATACATGTGTTTATTATTTAATAAATATTTATTTTTTTTTTATTAAAAAATAATAAAACGAATTTTTACTGAAAATAAAAATCGATAAAAAATATTTTTCATAATTTAAAAATAATAAAAAATTAAATAAATAAAAAAAAATTATAAAGAAAAATATATTTTATATAGAGAAAAAAAAGAATAAAATAAATAAAAAGATAAATAATAAAAAATATATTTAAAAAAAAACAAAAATGTACATAGAAAAATAAATTAGACCCAAAACACCCAGTTATTTAGTTTACTATAGTTATCGCAAAAAAAATCATAAATAATTCTGTGAACAACTCACACACAAAAGTAAAGAAATAAAAAAAAATATTATTAAAAATAATATCTCAAAAATTATAAGAAAAATACATAAATGGCCCCATGGCCTCCAACAAAATTAAAAAAAAAATAAGAAAATCTACAAAACTTTTTGGCCCTTTTACGAAACACCCAACACAATCACACTCCACTTACCCACACACCCACACCGAAGCAAAAAAAGAAGAAATATTCAAACGAAACGCGTACGTAATAATTATAAATTTAAAATTAATTATAAATTAATAAAAAAAAAAACAATATTAAAAAAAAATATTGAAAAAAATCAAAACCCAAGGCATTTTTTATTTCAAGGAAACAACAATTTGTTTTTGGTAAAAAAATTGGCAAATTTTTTTTAATTTTTTTATACTTTTGCTGGATTAAAATAGCTGACACCAATTGCGTAAGTAGTTTGGCGGGTTGATTTTCAAAGCTCATTTGGATGTTCAAAGAAAAGCCATTTTGAGAAATTTATAAAAACATTTTAAATTTCGACTATAAGGAGACCAAAAAACAATTATATTTCTAAAAATAAATAACGAAAATATATCCAAAATTGAATTTCTACCCAAAAGCCCGTCAATTCTCTGCTACACAACGTAAACTAGTTGCATTAAAACAAATGCAATGTCATCTAGCGGAGAAAGTTAGTAGCTAGCCAAGACGCAAACCATTTTGTTTGTGAACCATGATTGGTGAGTTATTATTCTGTTTTCAAGCTTAGATCCTGACAATTGATCACACATCCTCATCATCCTCACTTCACTTTGTATAGAAAAGGTGCTACATAAATATATTTATAAAAAAATAAATATAGTAATATCAATAAAAAAATATTTATCAAAAATAAATATTGTAATAACAATAAAAAATATACGTAATTAATATAAATATTAAAAATAAATTTGTATATATACAAACATATTTTTTTTTTTTTTGGTTTTGTATAAAATATTTTAAAATTTGTAAAAAGAAAAAAATTAAAATAATAAAAAATAAAAACAAGTTAAAAACTAAATAAATAATACATTATGAATTCAAAAAAACAACAACAAAATATTTTGTAAATATTTAAAAAAATTAACAAATAAAATTAAACCACCACTTTTTATAAATAGAAATTATATATTCTCAACAGACCATATCATATCATAATATAAACCAAAATAAAAAATTAACCAAATAAAAAAAAATATTTTTAACGGAAATTTAATTTTAGAAAGTAACACAAACAACAATAGCAAAAATAATAACAATAATAATTGAAATATTTTTTTGTTTGTTTCTCAGGCAAAAAAAGAGGATTGAATATAAAAATCTAAAAAATATTATAAAATAAAAATATATAAAAATAAAAAACATATTAAAATTGAAATAAGAATATTTAAAAAAAGTATATGAAATAATTTTTTAATGCCAAATAGTTATAAAACAATGCTTTTAATTTTTTTCTCACATTTTTTTAATTTTTATTTATTTTGTTTTAATTTTTTTTTATATTTTTATTATTATTTTTTTTTTTTTAATGAGAACAAGCACGAATAATTAAAACAATTAAATACTTGATACTTATTTTCAAATTAATTTTTTATATATATACAGAAAGCAAGATTAAATATTTAAAATTATATAAATACCAAAATATATGTTTTTTTTATTAATTAATTTATTTATTAAATCTATTAATTTTATTTTTTTTTCAATTCGTTTATTTTCCTAACAATAACATAAATTTAAATTTAAATTAAAAAATAAAATCTTTTTAGAAATTTTAAAAAGGGTTATTAATGTTTTTATACCTATTTTCTTATTAAAAAAATATTTTTTCCACTTTTCCTACATAAAATTTTTATTTGTCCATTTTTTTTTTCAATTTTAAATTAAACAATTTTTTATAATAAATGATATGCTTTTTATAATTTATTTATTATTTTATCAAATTTTTTTATTCGTTATTTTTTATTTTTCTTCAAACAATTATTTCCAACTTTTATAGACAATTTTCATTTTACTTTTTATTATTTTATATTATTTTATTTATTTGTATTACTATTTTTTAATAAATAATTTAGTTTTTAGATCTCCTAAATTAATATTTACTTTTTTATATTGTTATACTCATTTATTTTTAATAATAAAAGTGTTTTGAAAATAATCATTCTTGTTAAATAATTTCAAAATAAATCATTTTTCTTGGTTTATTTCATAGGGTTTTCATTATTTATTTCTTAATTTTACCTCAAACAATTTTTTTAATTTTTTTGTAGATAGTTTCAATTTTATTTTATTTTTATAATCATTTATTAATAACTAATTTGGTTTCGATACGATTTTTTTATTTGATCAAATTCATTATTTTATTTAATTTTTTATCGATTTATTATATCTTTTATTTATTTATTTTACTACAAACAACTATTTTAAAGTTTCATAGACAATTTTTATTTTGTTTTTTTATTATTTTATGTTATTTTATTTTTATTACCATTTTTTAATAAATAATTTAATTTATAGATCAGTTCAATTTATATTCATTTTCTTTCATTGTTGTTTTCATTTATTTTTAATAACATTTTTTTTGAAAATAATCATTTTTTTTAAATAATTTCAA